AAAATAATTCAAGTAGACAATGGCCCTCCATTCATGATTTTTGGTGCAATCCACGACAACAATAACATCAACCATGCTAAAGCATGACTGGCGCTGACCTTTTGGATTCACAACAGGTCCCCCTACATAAATATAATAGTTAATACTTGGTCAAACAATCCCTTTTAATTCAAATTTCGCGGCCTTTCCATTATGGCAGAATCTTCGTCAACAAAACAAGCAGTGGAATTACCACTGTTCCTGATTATGTTTCGGTGTAGCAACAGTCTCGTTCTGGTGATTTGAATGGATATGCCATGGTTCCTTAATTGAACATTTTCTGCTACATAGTTTCGAGGCTACAACCAAAAAAACACGTGTTGCCACTTGTATGGTTACGACTATGATTTACGAATCTCAATTTGTTTCCAGTCAAAAAATATGGGTTAATTACGTTTATAGATTGAACATAGTGGCGTATATTCTATGTCGTCGTCATCGTGGTCGATAAGGTGGGTCGTGGTCCAAGGGTGATGTACACATGTTTTGTCTGCGCCGTAGTTGTGACAGTTGTTGTAGGTGGCGTTGTTCTTGTTGTTTGTTTAAATTGCATGAGTCAATAATGTCGGCATCGTTCTTGTTCGTGTTTGTGTCTTACATTATTGATGTTGTTGCCTGTTCTTGTCATACTGTTCTTGTTGCTCTTCTTGCATTTACTCTGCCATGACATTGTTGTCGTGCTTTTAAAATTGTCTATCGCACCCTTCGCTGTAACATATCTTATCCAGCACGCTAACATGTGTTGTCGTTGCAGAATGCAATTTACCATCGTACCTTTGCACTGTACCATCGTACCGTCTAATCGTACTTCTCACTGTACCATCGTACCTGTGCACCATACCATCCCACCATCCCATCGCACCTTTGCACCGTAACATTGTACCTCTGCTCTGTGCCATCGTGCCCTTGTAGCGTACCATTGTACCACTCACCACTCTGGCGTGCCACCGTGCCCGTCCCACCCCGTTGGAGGCTTATAGAAACCATGCCTAGCATGGCTCTTGAATTTTGATAAGTTTACAGTTTAATCACCACATTCTGACGGAATACCTCCAAACTCACCTGATCACCATTTTTCCCGGCCAGCCGGATCTGACATGGGATTACGGCGCCTGGTGGACGCAGCGTGAACGTAGCAATTACAATATCTTCAATGACATGGTGATCTATGGGATGCATCAGTTGAATTAGGGTTTGTTTGTTGAACCATTGTTCATTCCAACAAGAGTATGAAGATAGCCGACCAACTCACACCCCATGGAATTCAAAATAGCGAAGGTCCAATTCGCAAAAATTCATTGCAACATCGGGGCGACGTCTTAAACATGTTCAGCATGACTCCCTGCTGCATGGATGACACGCACAAATCAAGAAGTGTCAAGCAGTTGTCGTGAGGCACAATACGTGTTTCCGAAATCATAGTGGCTCTGACCGCCCTTTGGCAAAATATGTGAGTTGCCGTGCTCCGCAACTTAACACGAACAGAAGCAAACATGACCCTGGAGGAACTCATCAGATGGCGCCGGCAAGAAAAACGATTGATCCACGGTGAGGATCCCGATTCCGGAGAGGACAGCGCCTCCGCTGAAGAAGAATCTTCAGAGGAGTGGGATGTCCCGCCAGAGCGGGAGGACCCGCCAGAGCCGTCTGACCCGCCGGAGCGGGCAGATCCGCCACAGCGAAAGCCCCAGTCCCAACAAGACGTTGCGTACATAATTCGAGGCGATCCTTTACAGAATATGACGGAAGAAGAGTTCGCTGCGTGGCGAAGAGCCGAGGACCAGTTTTTAGGTCTGGGTTGCGGCTGGAAATCAAACCACATGTCACTCTGAAAAGGTGGCAACATACCATGAGTAAAACTTCATGTGTAGCATGAACTGTAGAGATGACATGTCATGTAAGACACGTGCATGTCCGCAGCCCTTTTGACTCCTACGCCCGACCACTGCTACCGCGGGTTTTGCATATTGAAAATCGCCTGTTGGGTGCGAACCTGTTTTTGGACAAAAGGGTTTATGCTAACATGCCCCTACGGATCATAAGTTTGGATTTCGCGACGGCCTTCGAGAAAGTCAAATCGGATGCTGTGTGGGAAGTTCTGGGTACAGACGGCATTTCCGATCATTTGATTTGACCTGCGTTTTTTCTGAGGTTTATATCACCCAATCCGGCGATGTATTGGGAGATTAAAGCCGATTATTTTTTTTTTGCATAAAACGAAGCGTGCAACAAGGATTGGTGTAAGGCCCATGTTTTGTTGTGGATTTGATGGATGCGTTTCCTTGTTAAAATGATTTACGGTTTGCACACCACATCGACCACATCCTGTTTTTCTTCGCAACTCTGAGGCGTCAATCCCAAAAGATTTTTTGCCAAATTATTTGCAAGAGTTGGTTGGCCCTTGGTTGACTGAAGCGAAAACGGTTGCTTTGACGAATGAAAGTCAACCACTTCAGGCGCTTTATACGCGGAAACGTTCCATCTTTCAAAGTTTTGGCGCAAGCAGCTGCTCACAGGTGCAATCATGCTGTCGTTTGGGGATGCCAAGCATCGAGAACTTATCGTGCAAACGTACAAAATCCGCAAGTGTCTATCCTCAGATTTTCGTCGTGTGTTTGTACTTGTTGTTGGTTCAGCAGCTTGTTGTGGCAACCTCTCTGGACAATCCATAGCCAACACCGGGACTGATTCCATTGGATGCCCCAAACTGGTACGCCGCATTCTTCCCCCCCACCAATATATAGATTGGTCACCGCAGTAGCAGATAACCTTGCATGAGCCCAATTTACGATCGGAACGACGGACGCATGCTAGCACTCGGTTTCAAAGGTTCAGCACACCAGTGGCGCGAACAATATTGAAGTTGGGGCGCCTATGTGGCCAAGCCTGCTGAAGTGGAACATTGGTGGCACCCATCTGTTCGGCACCCCGACAACGAAAGGATTGCACTTTGAAATCGTACATTATCAGTGTGCAAATGTTGGTTCGTTTCATTTTTGTTTGCGGTTACCCGCGCCGGTGGCAATTAGTTTGCCTGTGCGCTAAATATAGGTAAACCACAAATTAGCCACGCAGACCGAATTCACTCAGCACGCATCCATGCGCTCATTCACTCACCCACTCAATCAAATTCTATGCGCCCACTGCACGGTACATTTTCGTTTTTGTTTCTCCCGTCCCAAGCAATGACTAGAGTCCATTCACATACCGGGCAAATTTGCAAAGTTTTAAGGAAAATTGTGCCTGTGGAAACTGTTTTGTCCAAAGTGGGCATGGCGAAATCACAGCATTTCACCAAAAATTAGTTTAAAAAAAAAAACATTGAATTCTCGTCTCGCATAAACCCCCAAAAGATACCATTCTCGCATGCGCCCTAAACGATAAGATGTTGCCTTTTGAACTTGGGTACACGTTTGTCACACTGTGGTGGGCAAGAATGGCACACAGCATTGGAACCGAACTCCACATCGCCAGCTGCACATGCTGTGGGGAACGGCTGAGCCAGACCTCCATATCACCAGATGGAATGCCAGACAAACGGCTAAAGAGAAGGCCAAGTAAAATGCCAAAATAAAAAGTCAAAATACATTCAGATAGAATACGCCAAATGGTATGTAAAAAAAAAACATATAGAATATGAAAACACATGTCAGAGAGAATGCCGGAAAGAAAGCGGAAATATACCTCAGACAGTGTGCCAAACAAATTGCCAGATAAAATATTAAAAATGGTCGTGTAACATCAAATAAACAACCAACAGTGGATTCAGCGCACTGCAGGCCGTCCCCATATATTAATGGGAGCTGACCAGGTGGAGGAAAATGGTTGGCCAGCATGTGTACAAATCTATGGACAAACGAAGACAAGCAACTACGCATTCCACGTGTGATTCCATCAGTGTTCTTCGCCATTGCGATAATAAAGTGCCAGAAAGAATGCAACATAGAATGCCAAAAGAATATATGCAAGGTAGAATGCTAACAAGGTTGCCGCATGGAGTGTCAAAATAAATGCCAGATAAATGCGAGATAAAATGTTAAAGCATTTGTCAAAAAATATCAAAAAGGAGTCAACACATACGTCAAGCAGAATGCCAAATACAATGGTGAAATATGCACTGGATAAAATTGCAGACAGAATGCCACATAGAACATCAAAACATATGCCAGATAGAACGTGAGTTGCTGCCACATAGAACGCTAAATAAAGTGTCACACTATATGGCAAATAGAACGCTAGAAAAAATGACAGATGGAATGTCAGAACATATGCCAAATAGAATGCCAGATGGAATATCGTACGTACCAAATAGAATGCGGGAAAAAACGGCCAATTAAAATTTCAAATAAATGACGTATAGAATGCCAAACAAAATGTTACAGCGGCAGTCACCCGAAAGAAAATATGTTTCCGGCGCACGCATGCACCCGCGATAGAATTGTAGTCACCTTGGCTTAGGTCCTTTAGAAAAAAAACATGATCCCATCTGTTTAGCCACATTAGTTTCAGAACAAAATACACCGTTGCACTGGTTCCACACAAAAAAATATCTTGTCAAGTTGTCCGTGTTGGCCACAACCAAGTCATCTGAGTGAACGCACTGCAGTGCAAACTTTTTGACATCGGGGGCGATGCGTCTGGACAGGCTTAGGGTGTGGCCTGTCAAAGTCAAACTCCGTACTTCAAAGTGCGTGGTGGGTGGGTGGGCGCTTTGAAGTGGAAAAATCACGACGGCCCACCCACCCACCCACCTCTTGAGGAAAAACTTCAGGCAAGCAAGAATGGACGTTGTGTCCCGAAATGAATGCATCATTTCTTAACATGTCCATCATGACAGTTCGATGAATAAATTCAGCTTCACCGTCAAGTTGTCCGTGTTGGCCACAACCAAGTCATCTGAGTGAACGCACTGCAGTGCAAACTTTTTGACATCGGGGGCGATGCGTCTGGACACCCCCATTCTATTGAGCATTGCCAGCCACGAACTTGCATTTCAACAGCTCAAAGCAAGCTGAAGCTTCCACAGATTGATCACAACGTCCAGTCAACATAGGGTGGTAAGCTCCCCTAGAAGGAAAGTCGCTGATATTAGCTTCTGTAGGAACTCGAGCAAACCAAAGACAAAGGTTGTTGTCAGCTTCCTGGTTTAGATGATATTCCATCAACCACGAAGCCACAAAACTCGCTCCAGTGCCACGTATCAAAGAAAATCTCACTCCATCATTGTCTCCAAAGCAAACTTGTAGGCCACCTTGCATAACACTGGCCCAAAAATCCAAAGCCAGCACTGCCGCGCAAAGTTCCAACTCATAAATGATTGTATGCTTCTTGTCCGCTCCAAAGACAACGCATGTATCCTTGTCCAAAGGGATACCAAACCAAGCAACACATTCGCCCAAATTATTGCAAAGCACTGCGCCTAGGCCTCCAGTCTTTGTTTCCGGCTCATAGGCTGCATCACAGTAAACAAACCACTCAACAAGGGGTCTCGCGCTTACTTCTCTTGGCCGCCCATTGCAAAGGCGATGCATCATCACAGTTAATGAAGTTACCAATTCAGAAGGTAGCTTCGTGCCACGCCCATACGCATGCTCAGACAATTGCTTGAGTAGCAAGGCACCCAGGCGGCCATGCAGATAGGAGTCCGCAAACCCCAACTTCCCACGCAACACAAGCGCTGATTGCTTTCCTAGTGCACCAGCATCCAAGGTCGCATTGATCAGCGCCTTAAGGTCTTGAATCCTTTGTTCAGTGTTTTGGATTCTCAATATGCTCTCACCAGACGAGCTCAGATCGAACTCTACACCCAGGGCTTTGCAAATAACATCGAAGGAAGTGCACTTCTTCCCTTCTTTTGCAAATTGCCAACCCGTCAATAGAAAGATCAGCTCCATTGAGTTGCGCGCTGAATCTGCACAGCTGGGCCTTGAGGCCAGAATGTAGTCATCGTAAAAGTTTGTTGTCAACAAGTACAGCGCACGGGCAGCCAGAGCATACAAAGATCTTGACAACCTGAGGAAACTGTAAACGCTATGTGTTGCACCAAAGGGTAGCGTAACCAGTTGATATATTTCAGCACAGTCTTTGTCACAATTGTAGATGCTGAAGTAGGAGTAACACAAATGGTCCTCCCTGATGGGAACTTGTCTGTAGGCCGACTTCAAGTCATAAGTCTTGGCAACCAGTTTGCAGTCCAGGCCAGCTTCCCCACATTGTTGAAAAAACTCACGCACCACAGCAGCAAAAGTGTCAACCATATGCAAATCAACCTTATTGCTTGTGGCTGCTGTGTCGTTGATTCCAGAGATCGTGTAATCATCAATCATCCTTGTTTTGGACCCTTGCACAAGAGGGAACCTTCTCGAAACAACGCATCCATCAGGGACGTGCTGAAAAGGGCCTCTGGCCCATCCCAACTTCACCTCTTCTTCAGTCTCTTCCAGCAACTGTCGATCCACTGCTGCATCACCTGATGACCTGCATGAGGCCAAAATGGCCTGGTTCCTCTTTGCAGCGTCGCGCTGCAGTTGTGGCAACGTCAACAAGCAAGGCTTGTAACACTCCTCAAACGCACATGACTTTGGAATCTCTCCAGCCAGAGGGGACCCACAACGCAAGAGCTCAAGGACCTCCATGTCCTCATATCCTATACTCTCCAACATTTCTTCGGTCAGCAAAAGCCTCTTGCATGCGGTGGTTGTTCTGACATGAGCAGGCCGCTTAGCAGCATCTTCTTTTTCCGCTTGTTCCAGTTCTTTGGCACGCCGCAACCATCGCCTGCACCAGTGCATCCTGTATTCCACCAAGGTCTTGTCAGACCATTCAACATGCTTTGCAATAGCCTCCTTCAAGTCCTTCGGCACTGCATGGTTTTGTTTTGCAGGATGACCCAAAAGACAGGCCTTGTGAATAAATTGCTCACATTCCCAAGGCAGCCCAAAAACAACTTTGTAACTCCACATGCACTCATGGTCTCTCTTCCTCTTGTTTTGTTGGGACCCTTCAGCACCCCCATGAACCTCCGTCTCAACAAAATTGCCACGTAAGAAGCGTGACCCTTTGGGAACAACCACTGGTTGATTTGTCTCCGTACGCAAGGTGATATCAGTGGTGAGCTTTGCCATCAAAGAACATGGGATTTGAGAAGGGCCCTCTGCAAAGAAGACTGCAGACTGCTGAAAAGCGGGCAGCATGGGAGGAAGTTTGGCGCCTCTTGGCTGTCGACCTGTCGCCAGCTGTGATTGCTTGGCCATCAAAAGAGGATGGTCAGCCAGTTCATGCAAACTCTCAGGTTTCAAAATTACTCCAAAATTAGCAGCCACTTGTAAAATTGTCTGTACCAAAGCTATGCAGAGCTTTTGAGGGTACTGTGATTCCTCGGACGTAGCCCAAATTTTACGCCCAGCTGCATCAGTTGTAAAACCCCAGCCAGTGTGCTGGTGCTTCCGATCACAAACCAAATCCATTTGTAGCACCTCAGGAAACGACGCAACAATCCTGGTCCACTTGTCTCGCTTCGAGCCATACATGCATGCCTGAAAGTCAGTGGCATAGAGCGGGTAAATCCGCATCAACTCCAGCATAAAAGGTGTGACCCAGAAATAAGATCCCCTCGGATTCTCAACGGTCGCAAGTATGTTTCTTCGAACACACATGGAAAATAAATCACAAGTGTATTGGAACAAGAAATTTGCAATCTCCACCCTCTTGAGTTCATCTCCCTCAAGGTCAGGAAGGCCCAGCGGAAAGTCAAGTGATCGAAGAGGCCGAGGCAAATTGAACACGCCTGGCCGTGGTATCTCACGTGCTCGGCTTGCAGTTCCACACACTGGTGCAAAGTGCACCCATAACAGCAAAGGTGACATAAGCCACTGTTCAAGCAATTCCCTGTCAGATTGCTGCATGAGGTCCAGCTGAAAAATTGTACTTCGCGCGTTGGTCTTTTTGACCTTGTCTATGGCTAAGCCATTCAACCCAAACTGCTTTGCAACAGACGTCAAAACTGCACCACCAGCAAACACTTCAATCATGAATAACTGCTCGATGTGGTAGCCACTCAAGTCCCTTGCAACTGTCGCCTTCTCATCTTTTCACTTGTGTTGCAACAATGAATGATGTTGCTGACACCTAGGCTCCGCACAAACATGCATTCCTTTCGGGCAGCGTTCGCCCGGCTTCACGGTGCTGCTGTGTGAACACCCTGCAGTCGTGTTGTATGCAAAACAGATCGGCTCATTGTTCGCCGTCTTGTGGTATTTGCCTCTCAGTTCCGCTGGCATAGGCGGCGATTTTCCTTTCCCGCCAGATTTCCCTTTGCCCTTTTGAGGCCTGTGTGCAGGCGCCTGGTAAGGTGCAGCTCTGTTTGAGCTTGCCGGTTGTGCTGTTTGCACGGGTCTTGCAAGGGGAGCCAAATACAGGGCAATGGCTGGGTCCAACCTGAGTGCAAGCAGCCCCTCTCCAAGAGGGAAATTTCCGTTGGCATCTTCTCGAACCTGGCAATTCAATGTCGCCAATCTCGACCATGCGGCCTTGTCACAACTGACCACCTGAGCTAGGCTTGCCTTTGTGTAGCCCGGTGGTACCTCACGGTGCAAGCTTTCGAAGAGAAAAGTCTCCCAAGCGCTGTGCTGCTGAAAGGTCATGATCCTTGCAAAGGCCAATGCCACCGCCCTACGTGTAAATGCGTAGTGCAACTTTATCTCAGAGTCAGTTGAGCACGTCTGCTTGTCATCACTTTTAAGAATCAAAGCACCTTTCTCCAGCGTAAGTTCTCGAGCTTTTGTTGCACCTTGCACTTCCATGCTTCGTGAAATGCACGTCGATGGTTCCAGCCACCTAATGGTGTTGTCATCAAACATCTTGCAAGTCTTGTCCAATAAGCCGTGGGCCGGCTCCAGTTCACCCCTGATGTCAATGCCTCGAAGCTCAGCTCGCAAAGCTTCCATGCGCTGAGTGCGCTCTGCAAATGCCACCCTACGGGGCTGAGAATCCTCTGAATGATCTACCTGTTGCCGCAAGGTGGCAACTAAATAAGTATGAGCCTCAAATGTCAACCGTTTCAGTGAACTGGCCTCAGCAATCGTTCCAGCCCTGCCCAAGGATCTCTGAATGAAATCATCCACATCCTGATTCTGAATAGGCTGACCTGGTTGCCCTACAATAAAAGCAAGACGTGACAAGGAATCAACACCTGCAGCTCCTAATGCAGCAACAAAGCCAACTGTCAAACCCAAGCGCGCACAACGATCACTGAAATGTGCGGTACTGTCCAGTAAAGAAGTCATGGCACAAAAAGGGTCAAGGAGGCAAACCTACAACTCAAGTAAGAAACCTAGACATGAACTGTGATCAATGCGGCTGTCTCTAAAAGCAATTTAACTTCTGACTCGTGCAGCTTTCTGCAAACTTCAAAATGGCAGCTTTCTGCAAACAGACTTGACCGTTGTCAAGAATTTGAACCTGTGTTCAAGTACTTTGTGTGCTCATGCAAAATGCATGAGGCTTGAACCAAATAACATGCACTCAAGCGGCTTTCCGTCATGGCATGTACTGACCTGGTGTTACCAGGTTATCTTGGTCTGCATGCGTGATGAAATGTTGCTTTCAACGGCCTTTGCCAACAACTTGCATGCAGCTCCTTTTTTGACCCGCATGTCCTCACAGTCTAGTGAGCTGCCTTCTTTGAGCGCTGCAAAGCAGCATCTACTGCATTCGTCAACTGGTCAATGCTCCGGATGCGCCCAGTGTCCTTTGGAAAGCATTTCAAACACTTGGGCCACCGAACTTTGAGGACTCGAGGCAACTCTGTGAAGTTGAGTCCCATGACCGCTCCACATGCAGCAGTTTTCAACCCTGTCTTGACCTTGTGCAAAATCGCACTCTTCTTGTGCTTGTAAAAAGTCACACCTTCAGGGACATCTTCTGAAAACGCGTTCAAGTCAGGCCGTGCCACAACAGCCTCATCTGTTGAACTTGAGGAGCTCTCACTCGAGCTATCACTTCCAGAAGAGCTGTCAAGCTCAATCACACCCTGGCTCACCAAGCTCAAGTCGAAAAGTGAGACTTGGTCAGCTGCAGCAGCGATCTGCCCTTCATCCATAAACTCCTCTTTGATGCTCTCTGCATCCTCCAAAGCGTTCATCTCTCCCGTTGCTTTCTCAACTGCCTGCGATGGTTCCACCACAGGTGGCAACGGAGGAAAAGGTGTTGCTGGCATGGGTGTCGCCGCCGGTGCAGGAGTCCTCATGCAAGGAGTAGCGAAAGGGTTGGGAGCCAACGGATCTTCTTCCAGCCCCAGCCCAATGCGCACCCTATGCAGCAACATATTCAACTTCCTCAAAGCCCTTGTTTGTAAATGTCGGCCATAAACGACATCTGAACCTTCAAGCGCAGAAGCATGATGGCCCAAGACAGCTCTCACCTCTTTGTCCAATCCAGCCTTTGCTGCCCACACCAGCAGCGTCGTTTTCAGCGAGTGCGCCCTGAATGACTCACTCGCAGGCGTCCCCTGCAAGAGCAAGCGCAGCCACGAAGCTGCTTCTGGTGTGCTAAGGGGCCGGGCACCAAATGAGCCATCTGCTTTCGGCGCTGGCAATAATGGGCCCAGCGGCACCCTGTGGATGTCCAGCCCCGCCAGCTTGTAAACCTCCAAAAAGGTGCGCACCCATTCATGGTGTGTCACTCCCATCCATGGTATGACCAGAGGCAAGTACTGCTCACGCCGGGCTCCAACTGCAGATGTCTTGTGCTCTGTTGTATACAACGTCAAGAAGCCATTGCGACCCTCTTCAATTGAGACATGATGAATGTATCTCAAATCTGACCAACGGGCCCTTCCATAAACACACACAAGCAATGCAGCAGCGCCCAAGCGATCTGTCACACATGAAGCTGTCTCCAGAACCTCGTGCAACCTCTGAAGGTGGACCAACTCCAGCGGGGGTGCCTGATTGGTCGGTCCTTTCAGTTGCCGCTCAATTGCAGAAAAGCCCAGCAAGCGTCTGGATCCCAAAATGCATTCAGTCTCACGCAAATCAAGGCAAAACTTTGAAAATCGAACTGTCTCCATGAAAGCTGACTGTGTTGTAAAGCCCCTGCCACTATTGATTCTGCAAGATTTCAGCCATTGAAAGAATTCCCAAACATCAGGCTCCGACAACGGCCATGGGCTGACAGTCACCTGCAAAGCATCTGACCTAAAGGCAGCATGCCACTTGAAGTACCTCCGCATACTGGCAGCCCTCTTCAAAAGCGTTTGGGGACTTTTGACACCAAAGGAAGCCTTCAGCGTTTCACTTGCCAGCTTACCGCTAGCATCCTTCTGCATATCATTCATGACCATTTCCCCTACGCCTGATGCAAACCAATTGCAGGACAGTAGCTCAAGCCATTGCCCGCAAGCCAGCTCAAGTTGTCGATGTTTGTTTTCAAAATAATCCAAATCACGAATGTTTCGAACTGCTTTGTCAAAACATGCATCTCTTGAAACCTGAGCCAAAGTATCTAAGGATTCCGACACGGAGATGACCTGCTCCATGAACTCGCTGTCAGGTTCCGGCAAACGACTCTGTGGCCATTCAAGCACTGATCCATTGCCAAAAATTTCAGCAAAAATTCCACTCTCCCAAGGCAACAGTAACGGCGCAGGAGGTCTGGCAAACTGACTGTGATTTGCAACAACGCCTAAACGCCACTGTGAATCATCAACAACTGGCTCCACTTGTTTCGATCCAGAACTTGAGGGCAGCATTGTCTCAGCAGCAGGAGTGCTGGGGCTGGGACACAAAGATTCTTCAGCTCCCTTCTCAACACTTCCGTCGTGCTCTGAAAAAGCATGTGAACCACTTTCAAAGTTGAAATCAAGATGGGGCGCATCTGAACTGTTGTTGACATCATGTACATCCGAATAAACACCACGCAAAAAGTGCCAACCAGATTCCACACTGTCAGTCAAAGAAGCGTCAACATCAAAAGAAGGTAAACCCTCTGAAGCTCCAGGCAGATCCTCATCAGGAACATCTATGGTCTCAGAAGCCATTGCTCTAAGAAGCTAAACCCCCATCACTCGCTTTGAAGTGGAAAAATCACGACGGCCCACCCACCCACCTCTTGAGGAAAAACTTCAGGCAAGCAAGAATGGACGTTGTGTCCCGAAATGAATGCATCATTTCTTAACATGTCCATCATGACAGTTCGATGAATAAATTCAGCTTCACCTTCTCATCCTCCATGGGAGCCAACTGTAGACGACGCGGATATCAGCCATGCGCGCATTTGTTGCGCGAAAGCCCAGGCAACAAAAAAATCACGGGGTTTGCACAAGGACCGCTCAACCCTCCTTCACCCCCTGCCATCACAGCAAAACTTTTACGTTTTGGCATTTGTAAAGCCCTCCGCGCTAGCTTCAATAAAAAGAACAAAAATAACGAGACATGATCCGGAGAGAGGTCCCGAGAAAGGTCCGGACAACTAGTTTCGACGCTCGCAATCCCAAACCCAAAACCCGAAACCCGAAAGCCGAAAACAGAAAGCCGAAAGCCGAAAGCGGAAGTTCACAGTTCAGTTTCCGTTGTTTCAACTTACAAAGGTCAAGCACATGAAAGTGTAGGACACAAAGCTGCGGCTGCTGGGTTCCCTATTTTTCGGCGTGGTGCAAATTGATCACAAAGGACTGTACAACCGAAAAGATACCAGCGGGTTCCACTAGGTACAGAACCATTGGATCAAATTGTAACCCCCCAACTCAAAGCAACAACACAGATATACATACCCAAAAGCGGGGTAGCAAAGTGGTTGACCAAGGTGGGGAGTTAAAAGTGCACACTACTCACCACCCCCATACCCAAAGATGGTGGAGCAAGGGGAAGGTGGAGGGAAGAAGTACGATATGCAAGCTTGAAGCAGAACGGCAACGGACCAATGAATTTCCGGGTCCTACCTGTGAACAACTATGTACAAGTACAAAACACGTTCACAGTTCAACTTCCGTTGTTTCAACTTACATAGGTTAAGTACATGAAAGTGTATGACACAAGGCTGCGGCTGCTGGGGTTCCCTATTTTTCGGCGTGGTGCAAATTGATCACAAAGGACTGTACAACCGAAAAGATACCAGCGGGTTCCACTAGGTACAGAACCATTGGATCAAATTGTAACCCCCCAACTCAAAGCAACAACACAGATATACATACCCAAAAGCGGGGTAGCAAACTGGTTGACCAAGGTGGGGAGTTAAAAGGGCACCAAAAAACAAATCGAAAATCGACCAGCCGGAGAGAAAAACTCCCCAACAAAGAAATCGATTGAGGGAACCAACAGTCGGCGGACTGCTGCAGCACACTTTTCATATCAACGCCAAATTCAGAAGGCCACTTTCGGCCAGTCTGGGCAATACAGACTGGAGAAGACGCAAGTAGCTCCTGCCAACGCACCACACAATCATCTGCCTCTGTGAGTGGTTCAGGAAGGGGCTGCTTGAATCGACCCAACGAGTCTGCAATGACGTTCAAATGACCAGGCACGTGAGTCATCTTGGGAAAACTGTGGTAACGCCTCATAAATTTGAAGTATGGTGCCAGGACTGCGGATACTGCTGGTGTCATCGACAAACCTTTGGCTGAAGCTGCATCGGCTGCACTGTTGTCTGTTCCCTGTTGACACGCAACTGAGCCACGGCCACGGGGCAGCCGAGATTCAGTGCAAACTGTGAGCGCGAACTGTGCCAAAAGTTCCCATGCAGCGATGTGCTTTTGCATATACATACCAACCCAGTGCCAATGTTCGTTGGCCTGTGCCAATGTGATCTGGAACTGAAACCAGACACAGGTGCCATCTGGAAAGAATGCAGCACCTCCAAACCCTGCCATTGACTGTGATGCCATTGCATCTGCAGTGGCGGTAATGTGCAGGAAAGCTGCTGGAGACATCGAAAGAGAAAAAGGGGTTGACACCAGTAGTTTCGCCCACAACTGTAAAGCTTCACGAGCCTCATCATCAATCGAGCGAGATGGTGATGTTGGATCCTGTATGCCAATCCACACTCTGCGTGATTTGAGGTGAAGCTTGGATGCATCGTCCAACGTCTGCACATGCGTGTTGGCAACCCGCACCAACTTGACTTGCTGACACAATGGCTGGTGTCTGTGCGTGAGGTCAGTAGTCAGGGTGAGTTGTGGTGAAAGCGCATCCAAAAGCTGTTGAAACGTCACATGATCCATATGGAATCCATACCCACCATAGTAGTGGGGATGTGGTGTAGTGCCCTGTACAACGGAATGAGCAAGGCC